CGCTCTACCACTTGAGCCACAGCACCACTTCCAGCTTTTTTCTTTTTTCTTATGTGGTGCTGAGGAATCGAACCCAGGGCCTCATGCATGCAAGGCAAACGCTCTCCCACTGAGCCACCTTCCCAGCCCCCCCAACCATTATATTGATTCAAACTAGCGATATGGATGGATGAAAGCCAGGCCTCATGCAGGCTAGACAAGTGCTCTAACCACTGCTCTACATCTCCAGCTCAGACTAATAGTTTATTTGGGTATCTTAGCTAAGAGAAACATGCAGGACAACTGAAGGTGGTGAGGATGGCCAGTCATTATGGGCAGAGATGCCCATAGTGTTCCATTGCTTCTGTACCCACCAGCTCACTGAATGAGCTACTCTTGAGGGCCCACTTACTTCCCAATTAGCAGATCTAGTTCAGACCTAAACTTTTTAGTTGCACATGACACAGTGACTCATTCCTCATTTGAAGGAGGAATGTTTACTGGGGATTGCCTGTAATCCTAGCAACTCAAGAGGCTGATACCTTAGAATTGCAGTTCAAAGCCAGTCCAGGCAGGAAAGTCTGTGAGACTCTTATCTCCAATTAACTACTAAAAGGACAGAAATGGAACTATAGTTTAATTTGGTAAAGCAGTAGCCTTGATCACAAGACAGCACCCATACCCTAGGACTGGCACACACACACAAAAAAAAAGATTGTAAAAAGAATTAAATCCAGCTGGGTGCCGGTGGTGCACACCTGTAATCCTAACCCCTCAGGAGGCTTAGATCTGAGGATCACAGTTCAAAACCAGCCCAAACAGAAAGAAGTTCCCAGGAGATTCTTATCTTCAATTAATCACTCAAAAACCATAAGTGACACTGTAGCTCAAAGTGGTAGAATACTAGCTTTGAGCACAAAGAGCTCAAGGTCAGTGCCCAGGCCCTCAGTTAAAGCCGCACACAACAACAAATATAAAGAAAGAAAGAGAGAGAGAGAGAGAGAAAGAAAGAAAGAAAGAAAGAAAGAAAGAAAGAAAGAAAGAAAGGAAGGAAGGAAGGAAGGAAGGAAGGGAAGAAAGAGAAAAAGAAAGAGAGAGAGAAAGAAAGAAAGAAAGAGAGAAAGATACCTAATCCATTTACAATTAGATTATATTAAAATAGGATATGTGTGTGTGCATATATATCATCCTTACCTAACTACTGTGTTACTACTTTTTGCTACTTTGTGTGTTCTTGAGATTGTTGTATCTATTCCATGTATATGGCAGGAATACCATTTCATCACTGACCACTCTCCCCCAATGGAGACTTCATTTTTGAATGAATGGCAGGGAGGTTCTCAGGCCGGGTGGATGAATATGGGCGCTGTAGGCAGAGGGCTCCTCACGATGCCAGTGCAAGAGTAGGCCCATGGAGTTCTAGAGCTTTTTGTTTGTTTTGTAGTGCTAGGAATCAAAAAGTAGCAATTTCTTCAACTAGACAGAGATGAGCCACCTGTCAGCTGAGAGCACAGTGATGTGCCGGGGACACTGGCACATGTTGTATTCATCGCTGTTCCCCATGACTGAAAAGAGTGTGTAGGATAGAGCAGGACTCTGCCTCCAGAGGCCAGCCTGGGTTTTAGGGAAAAACTTTCATCCTTCCATCCCCAATATCTCCATTTTCCCATCTCTCACCTCCCCACCTCCATCTTCCTATTCCCTACACCTCATCCCCTACCCTCCCATCTCCCCATAGTCTATTCTTCTAGCCCTTTCTCTCCATCTCATCCCATCTCTCCATCTTCCCATCTTCCACTCCACCATCAATTATATAAAGAAGAGGTTTTGGCTCAAGGTGGGCTCTCTGAGATGGGCAGGAAGCTGCATCCTTGAAGGGCTTAGCAGAAAATGCTCTGACTTGTAAATTGGACTGAAATCTGGAGCCCCAGGGAAAGGGAGGGGCCTTAGACAACAAGGAATAGGCACAACCCATGGCAAGGCAGTTACCAACAAACTCAGACTTCCAAGTCAGCCTTCCAAGCAAGAGAGGGAAGCCGTGTTGAGTTGTGCCCAGGTGGGTGCGGCTTTTATTTTGCACCCACAGTGGGAGCTGATTGCAGGGTGGATCTAAATTAGAACTGGTTCATACCTGTAATCCTAGCTACTCAGGTAGCTGAGATTTGAGGATTAAGGTTCAAAGCTAGCCCAGGTATGAAACTCCCAGAGACGCTTATCTCCAATTGATCATTTAAAAAAAAAGCTGGAAGGGGTGCTGTGGCTCAAGTGGTAGAGTGTTAGCCTTGAGCAAAAAAGTTCAGGGACACTGCCCTGAGTTCAAGCTCCAATATTGGCACAAAGATAGATAGATCGATTGATCGATCCATAGATAATCTTAGATATATTACTTTCTGTGTTGCCCACACTCAAACCATACTTTCTTAGACCTCATTACCACAGCAGCCGTGTCAACCCCCTCCATTTCTCAATCGACAGAGCCGTGGTTGGTTGGTTTGTGGGAGATCAAAGCCAGGGTGTGGCACATGCTGGAAAGTGCTCTACTGCTGAGCTACATCCCTAGCCCTCTGTTAATAAACTCTTACTTTAGTTCTCTTGCCTCTGGCCTTACTTTTTTCCAAACCATGCACAGATCCATCTTTTAGCATATAAACTCTATCACGTCTACTGCTACAAGTTCTCTATGCCAAGACAAAAATCTAAACGCCAGTGTGTTGCTTGCGTAACTTGTGCCTGGACAGACACACATCATGCTCCAGTCCAAGTTTAGCTCTTACTCCATCATTTCCATTCCCAGCTGTCTACATTCCACTTTCTCATTGGCATGTGGGAGTGATGAATCTGAAATATTCATTTTGGGGATGGGGGCCACTGAGCTAGGGCCTGAGATTTACTAGGCAGGCACTACTACCCATGATCCTAGCCTCCCCCCCCTGA